TGTAAATAATGTCATAAACTTCTAACGAGGGGAATTCAATGTAGAATAGAATAATATTACATTCTCTAAAATTGTGGTCCAACAAAGTTGTTATTATTATTCTATTAATTAAAAGAAGTTTGTATATATCATAATACATTATTTTACAGGGAACTGTATCAGTGCCAACTGACAATTGTCAACGATGTGGGGTCTATCTAATAGAAGATGCGTGGGTTCAATCTGTTTGTAAAATTGTGGTGAGTATTTTGCGATGTTTAAGTCAACATACACCACAATAAGCATAAAGGAATCAACACAATGGTAATAAAAAGCAGTTTATCTGGCGTTGGCTGTCGGATGTTGTGATGGTTTGATTATTGTACCATAATTTGCTTTACTATTTAGAAACATATAATACCATATTTCACACATTTCACACCATATAAACACTGAACACTGAAAAGTTTAGTATTGGAACTGGTGTGATGAATGTTTTTTATTTGATAGAATAATACCACCTGAAATAATGCGAAGCCATTTAAAATATTTGTTGTATGTGTTTGTTATTGCGTTTCAACATTTTCTCCACTTATACCTTAAATGAATGCTTTTTTTCACATATAGCATTGCCCACCAGCCATCGCCAAGCAAATCGAGATAAAGAATTTACTTCCTGAAAAAGATTCTACGCGTGATAGAATCTGTTTGACTCGCAAAAATGATGAATATACCATCTATACCTGCGAATAATTGTTGATAATATTATTCAAACGTATACATAGTAAATGGGAATTAATTATCTTTGTGTCAGTTATCAATAGTTAAGTTCTTTTAATTGCGTAGTTTTGGGTGATTTGTTACTGTCGACCATATGCTTTAACGACACTGCAAGTTGTACTCCGTTTGCATATAAGAAAAACTTGATTCAACTTGCACACACAATTTTAAATGAAGTGAAATTACTGTAGAAATTAAAAAAAGAGCTTTAAAATCTAGTACGATAAAAAAATGTTTGGCAGAATGTTGTTAAACCAGACTGAAAGTCAATACAATTAATCAGAATGTATGTCTTGCACGCCGTACACTTTAAGATACTGCATATGTAAAATAAGAACATAAGTCCGAGGACATAGGTTAGGAATTATTTGGAATAATTTCATAATATCAGTATGGAGTGATCAGGCGAGTAGAATTAAAATATCGATTTTCGAATATTTAATATCTAGTCATAGCCATAGATAATAAGGTTTTAATGAATTCAATTAGCAGTAAAGTGTTAATCATTGTCCTAGATGAAATTTAATGTAATTATTTTAGAAATACTAGTACACCAGCATACGCTCGTACTAAATGGCATTACTACATGTGTCGGAGATATTTATAGTTAACTTCTTATGTCGATAACTGTGCAATAAATTATGTCACTTGCTGCAAACTATTCTACTCGAACAGTGTTTTACTTATTCACTTCTACTGACATATGTGTATCTTAATAGACCAAACAAAGGACATATTTTAAATTGAACGGAGAAACTAGACACTTTATAATACAACAATAAATTTAACTTCTATTTTGGCATGTTAAGCCTGGAAATGTTGCATATATTGCCGAAACCGGTTACAAACTAACCAAATAAAATAGTTATTTGGAATGCTTTTAATTGAGTAGCATTCACCATATCAGTCTCTACATTACATTGAATGACAGTGATACTTTTTCAACAATTATGTATTATAACCCGTCACATTCAACATCTCGGCGTATTTATGTAACTTGTTGTCTCGAAGTCAAATACAAGCTTTTGCGATATAAATATACACGGATTAAAAAAGAGTATATCTTCTAAAAGTTTGCAATACTTTACTATTCGGAGAATACCAATGCTACCACAGCTTCAACATGGATGCTACTGTGACCCCGTCTTTATAAGATCAATATATTCTGATAAATTAGTTTAACCAGGACTAATCAGGATCGGAGTTTTCATGCAGACTAGTTTGATTTTTACAGGCATGTACGATGTGATGAATAAATTATTTGCTCTTCAACACAATATACTTTTTGTGTTGGAGACCTTTCAGATGAACACATAGAAGGCACTTGCAATTGGGAAGCCGTGTATGTTGCTACAATCCTGTTTTTTATTCATGCTGCGTATTTGGTAACCATAATAAGCTGGCTGGCAATTGAAATGAAACTTCGTCTACCAATATTGTAACTTCAATGATTTTGTTCTTAATGATAAGTTTACGTATCAGGCATTCTATAGTAAGTATAATACCACTATATTTTCCGTTTTTATGGAACTTTGTAGATTTTTTGACAGTTGCAAATAGACAAATATCAAATATCCGTGGATTTGTATTTATAGTGAAACAGTGCATTATATTTTGAAAATTATCACAATTTTGAATAATCATTTGCACTTTCCTATTTAGAACAACGCAATACCGTAATGTTACGATTCCACATGTTCAAATAGTTTAGTTGGAATGCCGAGAATGAATGCTGCCAATGATTTTAGGGCAACAAATTAATTTCACATTAAAATTAGAAATGTATTTTTCAAAACAAACTATATTTAAAATTTGAAAGAACAAACAAACACATCATAGATGAAATAAACTGAAGCAATTAACCTTTCTGCAACGCCTGAATTAACACTAGAATAATATAACTCCAGTGTCATATTACGTTTTACGTTATTATTTTTTTATTATTATTGATTTATTGCTATTAGAATGTGAAACAAGTAAATTCTTAGACTTTCGTTGAAAA